AACAACAGTAGGCGACAACACAAGCCAATGATGTAGGGGCAAGTCAGGGCAACTCAGAAAGCAATGATGCAGGACCAACTACAATTCTAACTTAGTCCAATAGTGTACAACAGAGGAGTAAATTTCAAGTAAGCTGTTTGTTATGGTCATTGCCATTATTTGTACTTCTTGGTGTATTAACTTCATTCTGTTATGTCATTTTGTAGGTTAGAAAAAGAGCAGTTGAAGAGGCTTATGAAAGTTTTGCACCACAGCATACACATGGTGCAATTGGGAAAAGGCTAAGGGAATATGGGTATAGGTTGTTTACTGACATGAATACCGGCAAGACTGTTTTAAATGTCAATTTTTTATGCATTACACATTTGATGTATGTCATTTGATTGATATGGTAACTAATCAAGTTTTTTATATATTGTTGCCTGAGAGAAGTTCCGAGGTGTTGATATCTGAAGGAGAACCAAGTCAAGAATCGGCTGCATCAACAAGAAGAAGCCAAGGGCAAGCACTGATAAACCAAGCATTAGTAACTCGAGCACAATTGAAGAAGCAGCAACCAATGGCAACTCCAAAACAGATAGTAGAGAGGGCAGCTCGAAAACAGACACCTAAAAAGACCCAAACATCAGCTCCATCTCAATTGAATGATCCTAAAAATACCAATATACATCAATCTCAACCTACTGCCACAGTGCCAAGACTAATCACTGAAAGTTTAATAGGAGGCAACGCTAAAATACATGAAGCTCCAAAGAAAAGAATGGATCCTCCAAAAGATAAGACAGTGGGAAAAGAATATGAGTGAAGGATGTGCCTAGAGTTCCTGTTCGGAAGAGTGTAAGAATCATGAATAATTTCAAGAGTCCATCGAAGAAAAAAGGAAGTGACTAGGTTATTGAGCTTGACTGATGGGAGGAGACCATCTGTTTATGTTTAGGTGTCGATGTATGTATAGGATTTTGTTGTTAGGTGTTTGAGATTATTGCTGCATTTTGGTTGGTAATGTGTTTAGTAGCAATGTTGTTAGGTGATTAATTATCTATTGCTGCATTTTTGCTGGATATGTGCTTGGCAGCAATATTGTTGTTTCGGTATTGAATGTAACAACATTGATGTTGATGTAAAAGAACATGATTTTCCTGGTGTAATGATTACGTTTTTATGTTTGGTGTAAATGCAATACTATTTGGTGTTAACCCATGCCAAGGCTGATGGCATATGTGGAATAATACTTCTTTTGTACGCTATTACAGGGTGGCAAGAATGAGATAATCTTGCTTAAGCTGTACAGGATGTGGTTAAGAAAAGTGAAACTAATAGCTTACTTATTAAAAAAATTGAGGAACCTAAGTGGTCACTTTTAAAAAGCTAAAGAACCTAAGTTGTAACTTTTAAAAAGTTAATGAACCAAAGTGTTCACTAAAAAAATTTTGTGGCACTCAAACGATCCTTCATAAAGTTATTTGGAACTTCTACTGTCCTTCAACACCATATGCAAAAAAGCCAAAACCAACTACAGAATGCAGAACCATCTCTGCTCTTGCTGCAAATTCTACAGCTTGCAAATCATCTATCATTTATATAAACCAACAATAATGCACCATATAACACCTTCCACCAACCTGCAAGTAAACACAAACTTGGCCATTCAACATTCAACCCACATGCACAAATTTGCTAAAAGTAACAACATTCCAGCATCAAAACATTCCCATAACTAAAATTCATTGCACCAAATACAACAACATATTTCATTGTTCTTCTACTATGGTAGACTCAGTAGCTTTTTCTCATTACCAAGGTTACATATGACCACAAATCAGACCAAACCCGACAACAACAAGACAAATAACACTCGATAAATATTTCTTTGACTTTTCATTCTTGAAACTTCCTTCTTCAAATGATTCACCAAAGTTTCCATACCCTTGATTTCTGCTTGCATTGAGTCTGCGTTGTCCAACTCGTCTTTCAATACAGGCGGAGGTTCATCTCGTCCTTGAAGTAGCTCCAAGATCACTTCCGTTACTCGATTCGAAAATTTGGTGTCAAGCCAACTGAAATATCCATAATTGAAGTCTTCTCTATACCTGGCGCAACCATTGAACCTTCTCCCAGGATTGTTTCCCGTCCAAGTTATTCTTGTTGGACTTCGCAGCCCACAATAGCAAAAATATTGACTTCCATCCTCGCTTTGTTCATAAACTTGTGAGCTGCTTCTCCTGCTTCTGCTCCCCATTGTGAATTTGATGAAATGATTTTCCCCAATTTGAAGAGAGTTTGCGAGTTCAAGGTTAAGGTTAGGGTTTCTCAAGAGGAAAATTGGATTTTGCCCCAATTTGTTGAAGTAAGGCAATGGTTCTTATAATTGGATGGGTGAACGACGTTGTTTGGCATGCAACTACTGACTAGATGGGTGAACGACATCGATTAGCATGTCAAATGCTGACTGCAACTTGCTGGTGAGACACGTCAGCTGTTTTAATGTTATTTGAATGCCACGTCGGATTTCCAGCGAGCCAAATTAGCAATGGCACTCAAGTGATTACTTTATCAAATTTTTGGCACTCAAGTGAGCCAAAAAAAAGTTATGTCACTCAAGTGAGCGCCGTACAAAAGTTAAGGCACTCCTAGTGTCCTTATCCCAAAAGCAATAAAAGAATTGACAGGAGCTGGTGGAAGAGGATGAGAAGCCGAGGCCGGAGGAGGTGGTGGGACGTTCATTGGTGAAGAGGCACAAACCTAAATAGGGTGAGGACCACGTGTTTTGATTTGAAGAGGAGTCGGTGTAGGTGATCCTGGATTGGGCAGAGCATCAGTAGAAGGAACAGGTGGTGGCTCCGACTGGAAGGCAGCGAGAGGTACAGTCGTAAGTAGCGACAATAATTAACAAGGAGTGGAAGATGGCAAAAGATCCATCGTCAATGGCACCAGAGGAGAAACATTGCCAAAATATGTATGATCCTAAAAAAAGTCACATCAGTAAAAATATACTCTCAATAATAAGTAGGACTATAATAGACATATCCCTTTTAAGTACTGTCGTGACCTCCCTGAATCGGTACGCGCCAATTGATTATTAAGTATAGGCGTAACTAGGACTCTTCCAAGCACATACCAATTCGCAACTTAAATTCAAGTTCTTAACATGCAAATCAATTTTATTTAGAAGTCGCTACTAATCAATTTTTTTTGGATCGATTAGAAATCTAAGTAAAGTAATAGGATAATCACCTTACTCATACGAACTAGAAATTTAATAGATTCGAGGACTTGGTTATACTAATTAATCAATTAGTGCCTTTTTGGTACCTAACATTATTCAATCATCAACAAAAATGTTCAAGCCGCCTAAGGTTCTATTCCTAACCAGGCTAAAGGGAAACAGCAATCAATATATCGAAAGTGCACAATCAAACAATAATCAAAATGGAAATGCACAAACATCGACATAGCATTTGTCTCTCGGATCAAACAATATCCTATTGTAAAGCCATAAAAGCTTGTTAATTTTGGGCAAAATTTTTTTTATCAAATATTTTCGAATATTTTAAAAGAAAACTTCCTGAAACCCTAATTTCCAAGCTTTTTCCTAATTTTTATATTTTTTTCTCATAATTTCTTTTAATTAATTTTTTATTTTTGTTTTTAATATGAAAATGAGGGCCTGGGCCGAATCTCCGGATCTGACCTAGGTTGCCGACCCAACAGCTGGACTGGGCCTGGTACACGGGCCAAGTCCAGCTCACAAATAGGCCCAAAACCCTAAAAAATTCTAAATAAACTAACCCCGGCCCACCTCAAATAAACCTAACCTAAACTAAACCCAACCAACCCATGAACCGAAGCAGCCCAGACCCAAGCGAACCGGGTCTATTAGATCCGCAAGCTGGCCTGACCTGACCCGGTTCGCGGTCTCTCCCTCACCCACAGCTTCTCTGCCGCGACGAAGACGGCGATGTTGCTTGTCTCCGTCCGGCCGAGGGTGTGCCCAAGCATCGCCTTAGGTGGTGCGGAACTAGGCGGTCAGCCCTGATCCGATCGGCGGCAGCCGCGGTGGGCTCCCATGGGATACCCGAGCCATGACCGCCCGAGGCTTCCGTGAACCACCAAATGGCAGCCGCGAACTAGCCGCCTCGCGACCAAACAACAAAGACGCCTTGGCCTTCACGGCCATCCTCAGTCGGCCCGAGCATGGCCAGTCGAGAAGGCCCCCCTCCTCGGTCAAGACCGAAAATGGTGGAGGGGAAGGCACGATGTGTCGAATTGGCCAAACGGTTGACGACCGAGAGTGCTAACACCACGGGAATGCCTCGACAAGGTGGGGCTGAGCACGGACGGCTCGACTCCAACCAAAACAACCAAACAAAAACCGGATCTCATTTGGCCTTTTTAACAAACAGTTGAAGTGCGTTACTGGAACGAGAGGTTCTCGGCCCAAACCGTGACTCAAACCCACGCCAGCGGCCACGACACATGACTTACATGGATACCAGAACAAAAAGCGAGAGCGACGGCGGCCGAGGGTCGCGCAAGCCGAACGGCCGTGAGCTTTGACCCAGCTTGCCCAAAAACAGGGCAAAAGCAGAGCAAATCGAGAAGGGAAAAAAAAAACGACACACGACTTACATGGATACCAGAACAAAAAGCGAGGGCGACGCGGGCCGAGGTTCACGCAAGCCGAACGGCCTTGAGCTCCGGCCCAGCGTGCCCAAAAACAGGGCAAAAGCAGAGCAAATCAAGAAGGCGAAAAAAACAGGGGCTGGCCGTGGTGCTCCTTATCGTGGAAGGACTTTTCAAAAATGCAATCGAAACGACTTAATTGGACTAATTTAATAAATTTTAAAATTTAATTAAATTTTTAAAAATTTTAAAAATTAATTATATTTTTATGATAAATTTTAAAATTTAATTATATTTTTCGAAAGTCCTATAATTTAACTGTACTCTCGTAATAAATTTTAAGACTTTTTAATGCACCGATCACTATAATTTTACTACCTCGTGTTCTTTCATTTGTCGATGTGAATATAATCTTCCATCTCTAAACGCACACTTCCCGTGGCTCTCTCCTCCTCTGCAACTCTCTCTCTCTCTCTCTTCCGCCTCCGCCTCCGCCTCCCCCCACCACCCATGGCGGCGACGCCCCACTTCCTGTCCTCATTCAGGTACGGCGACGCCCTCACCGTCGTCGGGATCTCCGTCTGCACGGCCCTGGTCTGCGAGGCCATCTCGTGGGTCCTCATCTACCGCACCGCCTCCTACAAGACCCTCCGCTCCTCCATCGACAAGGCCTCCAAGAAGCTCGAGTCCATGAAAGCCACCACCTCCGCCTCCTCCTCCTCCTCCTCCTCCGCCGCCGCCTCCTCCTCCTCCGCCGCCGCCCTCCTCAGGAGGCCCGCCAAGTCCAAGAAGATGGACCGCGTCGAGTCCAGCCTCAAGGAGTCCTCCCGCGACCTCTCCCTCTTCAAGTTCAAGTCCGGCGCCGTCGTCGCCCTCGTCCTCGTCGTCGTCTTCGCCCTCCTCAACTCCCTCTTCGAGGGCAAGGCCGTCGCCAAGCTCCCCTTCACCCCCTTCGGCCTCGTCATGAAGATGAGCCACCGCGGCCTCCAGGGCAGCGACGCCACCGATTGCTCCATGGCTTTCCTCTATTTCCTCTGCTCCATCAGCATCCGCACGAATCTGCAGAAGTTCCTGGGGTTCTCGCCGCCCCGGGGCGCCAGCGGCGGGCTCTTCCCCATGCCGGATCCGAAGATGAATTGATCGATCGGGCTCGGTCTCCGCCTCGGTATTCTCACGCGAAACTTGTTTGACTCGAGGTCATAGAAGTACTTTCTCTTGATTGTTGTAAGTTAGATTTATGTGATATGATGGGATTCTCCAGTGAGAACGGAAGTAGGCTGATTGGGATTTGGGATTGCTCGAGATCGCCAAAGTGCCAGACTTGATTTGATCAATCTAATTCGTGTAGCTACGATTCCCTCGTTTTGTTGAATTAATGTTTCGCTCGTGCAAATGTCATGTGTGACAATGAATCTGTGAAAAAGTTACAATATTTCGGGGCATCGTGTAATGAATTTACGAGTGAAGCGGTCGAATGTGTCGTGTCCAATAGCTGTAGTTTGAATCTGATTGACCTGAATATTCTGGTATCAGTTGTGACATTTGGGAATTTTCTGGATTATGATTAGAGGTGTGGGACTGAATTAAATGACTTGGTATGTGACTACTGACTAGTGTTTCTTGTCGATTCTCTTCTTGGTTCAATGCTTTTCTTGTTCTGTCCCTGCGGCTGGTTTACTAACTTGCGGGTTTATGTCAGCGTATCTTTATCTTCTGATGCGAATGCCTATTCGGCTTTGCCACTTAAAGACCTCCTTAGTCAGTACCACTCCGGGATATTGGCCTAATGCCGGTCTCATCAGTTTATCGAGTTTCTATCCTGAATGTAGTTATAGGGTTCTGATTGCTCATTTGGAATTAGTTTCTCGGACTGCGGTGAAGGTGAATTAGGTTTTTGTTTGATGTTGTAAAATAGGAGGTGAGAGAGTTATGTTTCTTGGTAGATCTGTTAATTAATTGAAGAAGTTGAACTTCGTCAATATAAACATTCCAATTGTTCTTCTTCTCTTTTTGGCCAATGCCAAATTACAATTACTTGACTTGCATGCTGTACTCGATGTCGGGATTCTTTGGCTTGTATTTGAGCTGCTTCCCTTCAGCGACTTCTTTTCTGATTGGATGTGGTCTTCTCCTTTTTGGTGCCCATTGACCAAACTTCTTTCTTTGAATTCAAACGTTCTCCGATTTTTCTTTTGTTTCAGCAGATAGTTGCATTATCAGGAGCATATAAACTAGATGTGAGTGGTGAATTTTGGCTGAGTATCTTAGAGTTATAGATTATACTTTGGTAATGCATTGAGCGAGGTTTTACACTGTGATTTGTTTTGATTGAATAATAATTGAGGACTTATATGAAGTATTTGAAGTATAGAAAGGAGAACAGTGAGAATATTTCTTTACTGTGCTCCTTTACTGATTATCATACTTATATACAGTTTTTCCTTGTTGAGACTCCATGTGCATTTAGCCTGATCTCTGCTGGCTTTAGTTCAAAACACTGCAGGAAGTATCAATGACGATAGTTATCTAGCATATTAGGCCTGGTTCGATTGAACAGAACTGTATCAGTAAGACTTAAGAGGCTTGCGGATCTGTTTTAGTCAGGACTATTCAGCAATGTTGACCTAGTGCTGGTATCATCAGTGTATTGCTTTCAATACCGAATGAATTGCTATTTCAGGTCTCATTGCTTTGTGGATGAATTTGGAGTTAGTGGCCCTTTCTTGGACTGCCTTGCAGGTGAAGTAGGAATCTGTTCGTAGATATTCTAAGGAGGAAAGACAAGATGCTTTTGTTTCTTAGGTATTTTACCGAGTAACATACTCACAGATATTGGGGTTCAAAACGCCTAACACGGGTGTTGACTAATCTCGTCTTTGGAAGGGGGTTTTGTTTCTTAGCAGATGATCCGATTATACTTCAAATAAAACTTAGTTAGAAATTTATGTTCGGTTATCTGATATGAAGTTCCAGTTACGTGACTTACATATTATATCGAACATCAGATATTATTTAGCTTGTGTTTGAACTCTTATCTAGTGAGGTCTCATTTAAAACGGATGTGAGTTGGCTCCGTCGTGGTACCTATTGATTAGAATTCATTCTTAGATATTCAAAATGAAAAGAAAATTTGTTCCCTCGTTAGTCTTTTTTCTTCGACAAATAGTTGCGTGATGCACTTAACCGGATATGTCCGTCAGTTTTTTCCTCCGTTTGGCCGGAGATTAGGATGCGATATTGATTTGTTCGAATAACGACTGAGGATTTGTTTACTGCATCAATGAAAGAACAGACTGAACTTTTGATTTTGTTACTATAATGACTGATTCCTGCTGAGATCCGTTCAATGATAATCTCCTCTTGCTTCAGTTGAAAAAACTGTAGTTAATGCATGACAATGGTTATCTCACATTCCTTTAAGGTGGGAGGCAAATCATGAATTGAATGTTCACGGATTAAAAACCAAAGTACATGCATGAAATTGTTTTTTCCTTTCGAACGAGAAAGCAGTTTACATGATGCTCAGGGATTATTCCAAACTGTAGCTGGCATTGCCACAAGAAGTCAAGAACTGAAATCTTAAATTGAGGAAAAACACTAGAAGGGTTCTAGCAGCCGTATACCATGTGCTTCCTTCCATTCAGCAGCAAACCAAAGCATCGTTGGTAAGGGAATATTATCAGCCATTAAGCTTAAAACTCAGATCGATGTCATGCATTCCGCGAGCTACATATTCCACAAAAGAAATTTAGTGTAACATCTATTGCTTAAAAAAGTACAGTGGAAACCACCGAAACAGTATCTCGCCCCTGAAAAGAAGATAAGAAAAACAAAACCAAAGAACCTACGCTATTCAGAGTCTTAGCCGAGGAAAAATCTCCCGAAGTTCTTTAAGATATCTAAACAGCAGCCATGCTCATCTCATTAAGAAGATGGTAATATGTGTTGTGATCAGGACTGCTCCTGAAGCCAGGAATATAATCTGAGAAAAATCTGAGGACCGCAGCTAGGTGTTGTGAATCACTGGAAGCAAATGCTGCCTCAAGGAACATCGAAGGACGTATGGTAGTTACCTGAAAAATTCACTTTCTACAACTTAGGAATGGTTGGTCGTTTGTCCAAATTAACAAACTATAATATTGGACAAATACACCGCAATGCTTTTTTACTAAGAATTTGCAAAACGTGAGTTGGCAAGAAGTACTGGTGCAAAACTAGGAAAGGAAATGATGAGTATGAACCAGACCTAAGCTTTGTGACAGTAGAGAGTTATCATAAAGAGAGACTTTTGGCTTCGCAACATTTACCTTATGCTTCTTCATGTAACGTAGAGCTTCGAGGTAATATCCATCTTGCACCAAAAATACCACATAATCGTCATGCAAGGACAGTTGCCTTAGCATGTCTAGACCCAACTTCCTAATTTGTCGGTTATGCCTACCAGACTCCAATAATTGCAAGGCAACTTCTTTAGAAGGTTCAAGAATCTGAGACAAAATTGTTTAAGTCTCATCAATAATAATACCATAAATAATTTACTCTAAAGCACCTTTTGGTGCTTTTACATGTCAAAGCAAAGACTTGAGAACCTGGTTTAGGATGAATAACCCAAGTTCTGCATATCTCTCATTGCGAGCCAGCAGTTGTGCCGTCAAGGCATAAATATTTGGCCGTACCTTAATCCTTTCCAGATTACAGCTGACAATAGAAGCACATCAGTACTCATCAAAACAAATTGAATAGCATTTAAACTTTGGCAAGAAGGAAAGAACATGAACACCACTGTTCTCAAAGCACTCTCAGATTTGTAATTTGTACCAGTGGCACAATTCAAGCTTGTCGGGGTGTCTTGCCCGTGTCCAGGCCCAGACCATGACTACCAGGAAGAGAAATGCTCAGCTCTATACCTCAGCCAGCTAATTTATAAATTACACACAGAGATAACTTTCTAACCCACCTACACTGGCCAATTCTCCAGTGAACCCACAAAAAAAGCCTAAGTAACTAGGTGGTGGCCTCATAGGGAAAAAGATTGCTTATGCCACGTATAAGTTTGAACTGTCAACCCAAAAACTACGGACACAAAGAAGCAGGAAAAAAGGTAAATTTTCAATGAGATAGGATTCTCTTCAAACCCTTCAACACGGCTATTAACATTGAGCACCATAATGGATGCATTGGATGAATAAATATTTTTGGCAACAGGGCATAAATAGTTTCGCAGAGACAACAAAGGCATTCATTGGTCAAGTACCTGCGAAGGAACTCAACAATGACCGCAACCAGGTATGATGGGTCTCCAGCCATCTCTTCCTCAACTGGAGTAAATACGTATGTATACATCTCATCAGGAGAAACTGCAGGTGATGTAACTTGAGGCTCGGGCTGTAAAGTTGATCTCAAAATGTTGTTACTTGCTCCGACATTTTCAGAATGTAAAGATGTTTGACCTCCAGTTCTCCGAGTTTCAACACCCAACAACAATTTACTGCCGCTGCCGTTGGAATTGGGTTTTGCATATCCCGTATTTCCATTTTCATCTGAGTCTGTCTCTGAAAAAGTTGATCTTTCAAAAGATTCTGCATCTAATCCAACAACATATTCACGCTCCACAGACTTTCCAGTTGTATCTGATCTGCTCGCATTAGCACCGGTACCATGAATAGTAGCATATGCTGCACCAGAAGCTTGTGCTTTCTCAGCTTTTGTTCCCTTAAAATAACCTGTTTTGAATGAATTGGAGTAGGCTGTAACTAATACATCAATTGCCTTCGCAACCATGGTTACAGGTCTGCGCTCTAGAATGGCAGTACGAGCCATTGCCAAACACAAGTGTTTAGCCTGAAATAATAGAAGTAAATCCATAAGATAATTGACATTGATGTATTCACGGAGAAAAGCTGAAACCACAGAGAAAAGGAACATTTTCGTTCTTTCGAAACAATTATATTGACAAAAGTTCCGAAGTCGGTATACCCAAGTCTGCTTCCATGGAGCCTTATAGAAATATTGAAGTCACCTCTTGCACAAACAACAGCAGTCGTCATGATAGTACGCGATTACCTCTGTGTTTGTATCATAATTATATCTCATGGAAAAACATTTTTCAGCTAAACACATTTTTTCCATAGGCAATTTAAATCTAACCCTTCACCAGCCATTGCAGCCAAATGCAGATTAGCTATGCTCCCTTTGATTGCATTGTACATGTATATCACATATCATCAGTACACCCATCAAAATAAAGCTGCTATAATGCGAACTATTCTACATGAGCCATGATCTATAATATTTTGAAATATCAATCATCATCAAGTAACAAAATTGTAATAACATTCACATTTTTTATACATAAACTCCAAAGTTCTTACATGACTACTCCGATCAGATTTTCTTAGAGCTACTGAAGCACATCATTTTACACTCCAGTCTGCTTTGGTTTATCCTTGCAAAGGGTTTGTCCTTTAATAACTAAAAAGATAGTTTTAACAAACTAAGAAAACAGCAGACCTTGTAAGCTTCTAACTTCCGTCGTTGCAAGAAATCCAGTACTGATGACACTTCTGAACTACTGGCAGCAATGGCCTGCACCAAAAAGAAGACGAAACTAATCCAAGAAGGAAAATGCCATAAACAGACAGAAAATAATTTTTCGAGCAAATCTACCTCTAAATCAAGATAAATTTTCCACAGCAGTTTACTGGAAACGTCACATATCAGGTCCGGCACTAGGAAAGTCCAGTCATCTCCGTACATGGTTGCTTCATGATCACTTGGATAGCTTGCTGCCTCTGAACTTTCTACATCTTTAAAACTGGACCGCGCACCCAAACTACTGGATCTTGGAAAACCCCTCAACAAAAGCGGAAGTGGAGCTGATATTGGTGCTCGAGAGTCCAGAAATATGTCATATAGTATAATGACCTTGGCATCCACTTGATGCACGAGCAACACATTATCAACCACACTGATTGCGACCTTGCTTGAATATATTGGCAAAGAGCCCTGAAAATGGCAATGGGCATTATTTACAGCATGAAGCTATGGTACAGCATAGTTACCTAAAATACAGTGCTATTATGTTACATGTAGATGCTGATCATTCTCCAACATAACTTGCTTTCTCAGCATTCTAAGATTAAAAGAAGATACGCTTCAATTCTAACAATCAGGAAGATCATGTGAAAGAAAAACATCAATAACTACTGTCTGAGCATGTGAGGATGGGTCCAAATGCAATTAAGGGACTGAAAGCTTAGAGGTGGACTATTGACACTAACAATGGCTTTCCAGAGTTTATCAGTTTTGCCAGCTACCTAATCTATAGTTTTCCTGTAGAGCTCACTGAAATTATCAAAAGGACCACCTAAAGGAAGGTTGCTGATCTTTTGGAGCTTAAACCAAAGACAAGTCTTATTAACTTTTTCTATTAGTTTGCCTTCTCTTGTTCCAAAGAGATAGGAGTGAATTGAAACACATTCAGAATAGGAAAGTGAAGAAAAGAGTGTATCCTCCCCTCTGATTTGACTGGGAACTGAAATGCACCATGAATTTTATAAATGTCATCATCACAGCGCCAGACTGATTGACTTTGTATTGTTGGTAAATACTCACCACTTACTCCATTTCCTTTTTCATTTTCATAGTCTGGCGCTTGGTCCTTTTACTCGTGGAGTGAGAAGATCTCTCTATTAAATAATTCAAGTTAGACCTCTACACTCCATTTGGGAAACTAAGTAAAGAGGGGGGATTGAAAGTGGGTGAGGAAACTATGGAATATTCTTCAAATTTTTGTGAAACAGATATGGAAGGAAGATCTTTAATTTATGCCAATTTTCACTCCCCACCCCCCAATATTCCCCACCTCACAAGTTCCCAGACAAAGCATTAAGATCATGACACTCTCTCTAAAAAAGATGGGGTAGCTCAAGAATATTCCTAAATGATGCATCGTGATTTCAAGGGTGTAAATTGAGTCTATATAAACTAAAAAAATTTTACTTAACATTAGTAGGAGGAAGAAACACGCATCTACAAATTGGTTAGTTCCATGGAATGGTAACGGGAATAAGTATTTGTCTTCAAATTCCAGGAAAATAGCCACGTTTAGCAATGGAAACAGAATCTTAAGCAAAGATATACCTGTTGCACAACAGCATCGCGATAAAACCGATATGAATGAAGTAGCATCGCCACTCTATCAACTTGCAAGCAGTATATTCTACCATAGCTGTCAATCAGGAGAAGGACCTCTTTCATACTTGCTAAATAGGCACATTTAATCCAAAAGAGAGGGGAAAGAAAAGGTACACACACAGTGACAATATAAACATCCTCAGCAGCCAGCACGGGCTTGTTGTTTGCCTCGGTCTTTGCCATGGACATCTCAAATTTTGGCAATCTAATGATTCCAACAGAAGAAAGCTGAATCAAAAGAGAATTGGTTATTATATACCAATGACAGTATGCAGGAAAGGCTACATGCCATACTAGTTTCGTCCATCAACAGAAAAAGAAACCACACAAGTACTTGAGTTAAAGCCTGAAAGGCAAACTTTACCTAATTAAAAGCACAGAAAATGATCACACAATGTCTGAAGCAATTACATCCAACATAATGTTATTTTAGGGAACAAGAAGATTAGAAACCCAGAATTCACAGGCATGAAGTTGCACCAATACAAAAATAAAGAATGTAACCAAAAGTTAAAACAAGAAAGCTTAAAATGAAGAAGAAGAAGAAAATGCTTTCAGTCAAAACCCTCGTTTTCCAAAGTTGAATATGTAGTTCCATCTAATATTGAATATCTTGGTTAGTCCATGCCCCATGAGAGCTAGCAAAGTCACCAGAGATTGGTTTCTACTTATCCAAGGAGTCCACCAACGATTTTGTGAAGAAGAGTATCTGGGTTTGAGTCAAATTTAATAAATGGGTGCGTAGGAATGAACTTAAAGAGACCTCACAAACAATAATGAAAGACTGCTAAAGATTCAATAAGACATGCCATTTTTTAAGAGGCATACTAAAATCGTGCATGAACTTGCACATACTTTCATAGTATAAAGGCCCAAAATAGTCGCACCATAGGAAGATAGTAAATGGATATGTTTATAACAGGAGTCTAAGTCCACATACACGCAACTCTCCCCAAATGACATGCACAGGCATGTTCAGTTAAGCAAAAGTGGAGCATAGGAAATTAAAAATGAAACATACTACTTTGATTAGTAAAATTTCCTTGATCATCCTAATCACCAATCCTTCCAAAAGCTACCGATGTCAAAAAAGTTAAGATGCAATCAAATATTTAGGAGAAAGGGTGAAAGGAAAACATCTTGAGTACATCAGATAAAGAGCATAACTAAATTCTGGGAAGTTTATTCCCTCTCAAAATTAGACTACAAGTTGTTTGAATATAAGCACTTGAGCTCCAGCAGATGAGCAATTAAGTAAGAATGTAATGCTCCAGACACATTTACTACCATGTCAAAGCTTTTTGCCGCTAAAGACCACTACTCTAAATACTGGTTGAGATCTCCAAACAGACAAATGTCCTCATAACACAGAAAAACATAAGAGTGGAATAAAAGTTACCTGGAATCCAGTGAAAGTCTTGCACTGCATTCCGGAAGCAAGTAGAACCAAACGACTTTCATGTGTGTACACATACCAACTCACATTCAATTTCCTCGTCTCCACCAAATGAAGTATCTTTGACTCAGAATTATAAGCAAACAAATCTAGCCCACTGAAACAAATATAAAAATTTAGAATTATAAATTTCCGTCATAATTAAGTCAAGAATTCAAAAGAAAGTCCAAGAACAGAATTGAAAGGCAAAAAATGACCCTAAACCTCCACAAAAGCAAGAAAAAGGTACAAATAATATACATGGGACCGGTAAAAGCAACATGGAAATTGAATTGTTTAATTAAAACAGCATGACTGCTACATTCAAAAACAAGAACGAAGTCTCAAACTAGTTTCCCTGCCATAATAAGCTTGAGCCTAGACACAAAATTTCAAATGATAATAGAGCAACAGTCGCCCAGCACAGGACATCACCAACTTACCAAGGTCATATATATTTTCAAATGGTAACATCTCATTCAGGTATATAACGATGTAATTGCTAGTTGCTATTAACAATGGATGTCAAAGAAGCTGGCAGTAGAATCTGAAGAATATTGGCTCAACGATCAAACCAAAAGCTTTTGCCACTATAGTGTGTTTTCAAGAAAACATCAGGATAGTACATTAATGAAGCCAATGTAGCCTGAGGGTATAAAAGCCTAATTAAGTTTTTTCAATTAGTGTCCTTCTGTAACCAAGCGGAGGCATAAATGATTGGACTAACAAAAAAGGCAGTATCTCCATCTCCCGATTCTTTTACCCAAAATTACCACCAAAAGTATTTCGACCTGGACGCTGTTTTATCTTGCACGAAGGAATTTTCACAAAATTTACTCCAACTGCAAATTAAACAATGTCACAATTGAAAAAACTGCATAGAAGGAATTAAACAATGTCACAATTGCAAATTTTGAAAGAATGATATCCTAATGGATCACTGCATAGAAGCAATTAATGCACTAAGTCATGCATGAAAGTATGCCGGCATGTTGAGATGCTCCAAGAATACAGTGACAGAATAGCACATAATTCTACCTCTTATCAAGCAACACAGGCCTTTCTTTTTCTGATAAGTCAAAGTACCAAGTCTATGCATATTTCAAAGTGTAATAGCAAGGAATAAACTGGTTATAAACTTGATCAACATAGAAACTTCATATACTCTTCTCACTGAATATGGTGTTGCAATCAGGGAAACAAGGTCATTCTATTCTATGCAAAGAAATAAAAAAAAAATTGAAGCCAAAAGAGATGGTTATCTATACCTGGTTTTAACGAAAACAAGGTCACACAATGGACAGTCGGTCCAAAAAAATCCCAATATATTCTCTGACTCTGATTTGCATGTCTGACTAAAAGTTTCCCCAGTTTCTCTATGCTGAAATTGTATTTCATGGTTTGAACGTTGAATAGCAATTAGCTTTCCATCCAAAGAAAAACGAATTGCAAGAATCGGACCGTCACTTATTGAATCAGAGATAGGAGCAACCGCAGGATCAAAGGGAACAACTTTCCAGGAGTAAACCTATGTGAGAGGTAAAATAATTAACAGGAGGTAAGAAGAATACATTCAGTTCAATTAAATGTAAACTAGCATATTGTCAAATTTCCTGAATTGAACAGGATTATTCATGTGCATACGCTTCCAAAATACAGGAGTTCCATTTAAAGTTGATTACAATACCTGATCATTGGCTGGTGAAAGAATAATCTTATTGCCATCATCGTAAAATAAACCCCTAGATCCTGGGATGCTGCAACGCAGAGGTGGGTGCTGAATATAAACGTGTGAAAGCCCACTCGACCCACTCATGCCAACAGCAGGATGTGAACTTGATGCTAAACCAGACATCAATAGGTTTCTCGCTGTTCAACCTTGAGAATAAAATTACGTCTGGTCTAAGCTCCGATAATTCATGTAGTGGTTAAGAAAAATTCAGGGTAACTTGATGGATGCAAAAATTACCTTCTAAAAAGGATTCTCCAAGATGCTAATCAGGATTCCACAAACAACAATTGCAGTTTACTCACATGTCACCTCCGCAACTAGATGGACAGTAGTATGTGGTCAACCCTTTCGTTGGAGCTATCACAACGAGGAAGAGACATGAGGCACAAGTGTTTTCCTTAAAAGAAATCATACTAGACAAGATCAAATTCTCAAGACATGTAACATTCCAAATTATCATACTGTTTTCTGCATGCAACTCTTGAGTGCAAGAAATTCCTTCAAACACATATCACGTTCAACCTCCGGAACCTTTGCTGCGACGCAGCTCCCATACAGTTTTGCCTGTAAATACAGCACTTCATGTCATATTAAGCACTAAGAAAGCAGAAGCTCATATCAACCCCTCTCTTCCCCCAGCCAGAATACTGACCCCGAAAAGGACAAAGAAAAAAGAAGAGCACCCAGAATAAACCAACAGATGATATGAAATCCTTCAAAATGTTCAGGATGCAAGAAGAAATCATAAAACCATACTACTCTTCGCAAAACTATGAGGAACACCATATCCAATTAGACATCTGCCATGCTAGCAAGCTTAAGCCTCGTTATCAATTAACGTAGAGGCTCCTAGGGGAAAAAAGTGAACATGGAGTCATCTTGTTTATTATACCACAAGCCTCATCTGTTTTTTGATTAACGGACTTTCTTATGAACATAGGCAAAACTTGTCCAAACATGAAGTCTCATCAAGCTTCCACAAACGAGTTGTTTACAATATTCAATTTTACTTGCTAATACATAACTCATCCTTTTCTTATTAAAAAAGCCAAGTAGGAGAAAATATGGACATTGCACCAAGATCTGAATCTGAGGCCAGAGTACCCAATAACTTGACTTTGAAAGTTTTGCACCCTTAGGATACACCGAAGCTGGTAGACTCTACATTCAAGGAGTAGGCACTAGCGCAGCTTCTTCGTTTTGTCGATCATTACAAATAAATTTGTGAGGAACATCACGGCACATACTAGTCGGAGGAGCCAACGAAACACATAAACTGAGAAGAAGCTGAAAGCAAATGCAGGAAAAGGTCTCGCATAGGTGACGGGACGAAACGAAGGGAGACCCGTGTACAAAAGGTATAGTCAAGAACCAACCTGGGAAGAACAGTTCACCAAGATGCGGCTAAGCAGGGAAGTAGTATTATTCCTCTCCTTCATACCCACATTCCTGCCAAGAAGAAGATTCAACCATGTTAACATCGACAATTTCGACTGATGTCCAACCCGACCCTCGCAAAACCCGACCTTTAACCATCGAAGGAATTGTTCGAATGTCTTGTACAAGAAAAAACTCTCATCCCATTTGAACTTCGTGACCAAGACATAACATTTTCCGGCCAAAATCAAAAAACCTATGACTATCAACAAAACCTTCGGTTTACCAAACGAAATGAATCAACCCCACTTGATAAACAACCAAAAAGGGTTGGATATTCCGGGGTTTTCGCTTCGGGCAAAGCAGCAAATTCCCACTATCGACTGATCCGATGCACCGGGCAACGCGAAACCCACTAAACGAAACGCCGCCCACCGCCGCAATCACCATCATCCCCAATCACCCCAGATGCGAAACTCTAAACATCTTCGAAGGTACAGGACAGGCCGCCGTCTCCTTCGAAACGAAGCGCTAAAATAGAGACAGAGCATTAAGAACGAACATGCGCAGGGGTTGGAGAAAATCACCTCTCGGATGTCGAAGCGCGTGTGATTCAATCCAGCATCCGAAAGAATCGATCTCGTTCTGCTCGACAGATTCCGGGAGCGAAACAGCGATCAGCTACGGAGTCGAATCGCTCAAGCACCTTTTACATTCTCGTGATTTCTTCTTCCCTTCTGAACAAGCCATTGCGCCCCGCCGTGGGTGCGCTCGCGGGCGGGTCGGGTCGGGTCGGACTTGTCGACCCGGAACGGACATGTCGGGCCTTTCGTATTTCGGCCCGAACGAAAGCATTTGTGTCTTGGCCGGGAGCAAACTTTTGGATTTGGAATCTGGTCGCAGCCGGCTTAGCGAATCTGCCGGGTTCGACGTTCCATCGTCCGGCCCGGATCGCTTGCATCAGTTAATAAATGATTTTGAAGATATTTTCTTAAAAACGATTACCTGTATATCCTACAAAAATCAAAAATGAATGAATGAGAAATATTTCGTTATCCACTAAAAATGTTTAGACATAAATCGGAATTGATTGCAAAAAATTGTTTCCCGATTGATTAATTGTCTCAAGCAATATAAGTGATCATTTTTAGGAAAATATTTTCCAAATCATTCGTTCGTTATCGCAAAACAAATGGGGCCTTAATGTCGTTCACGAAAAATCCTTTTGTCCTGCTAGTTCGTTGTTTTACACAAGCACCCGAGAAGAGATGCGAATCAGAAATTGCACTCGATGGTTCAAAAATTCAATTTCACATATCTCATGTAATTCTTTTTTTAAATTCTGAAATTCCTCTTCCTCGACGTGCACGAAATCTATATCCACAAAATCCCTCTCGCTGTACGAGCCTTGCCGTTCCCGCTCATCCCCGTTGAGGAGTCTGCCGACACGCGGGACGGGGGATCGTACGGGTCCGGTGAGATCGGAGGTCGCCGACGACGACCCGGGATCCGATCTCGCACCTCTTCATAGTCACCGACAACCCCTTCGTCACTACCAAAAAGTTGCGTGAGCATGGCAAAGCAAACCTTGGTGAATGATGAATTGGGGTGTAAAATTGAGCATTGATTAGCAGAAGAATGCCTTCGGAATGGGCCGCAACGCTCTTCTGGTCTTCTCGTGAATCTCAATTTTACTGCCCGACACGGCTGTTGTTTAAGGCTCGTCCCATTCTGTACAGCCCATGACGACTTCATTACAGAGTACAGACAAGTCGTGCCAACCCCTATTTTATGTTATTGAGTTAATACCACCAAAAATCAAATCGGTATATACATTCAACATTTACCCCAAATCAATTTTCGTGTCGCAAAATTCTTAAAAACAGCACTCCGTGTCGCATTGACCCCAAATTGATTTTTCTAAATGGGTATGCCTGCGCCACATTTACTGTAATTAATTTTTTGTGTCGTATAAAATATCAAACTGGTAAAGACAAATCTACCGAAAACTTAGGGGAAAATGGAGGCAAAAACCGCGAGGGAGTTCTTAGGACAAATTTAGCAGATTTCCCAATCTCAATTCATTTTCTTCAAATATGGCTTACCCAAAACAACATCGTTTAGGATACCAATTTATGTTTAATTCTATGTTGATTCCACGTCACAAGCCAATCACCCTAGTTGTGTTGCCACGTGTGTTTTCACGTGAGCAATAGAATTGGGATATTAGACGGAAGCTAATGGAGGGATAATTTTGTTACGGGTATACTAATTTGGGATTTTTTGTGACATAAGAATTGTTTTTGGATAAATGTGGCATAAATGTATCGGTTGGGGTTTTTTTTTTACAAGTAAATTAATTTGGGGTAAATGTGATACGGGTATACCAATTTGATATTTTTTATGATATAAACCCTATTTTATAATGTCAATTTGGAAAGGGATTCCGGGACACTTATTAAGCATTCTTAATATGGTATATTTTGATTTTCAAAACGTGGTGATGGACCAAAGCCGAGCTTTGGCCCTCCCGGTGCACTCAATAGTTGGATTGCTAAACAGGCGGGCGGAACTTTGCTCATGTCTTTTTTTAAGGATCGACGAATGAAATGATATTTTTGTTCCAATTTTTGCCTCTTCTTCTCCCATTGTTAATTACATCTACATGGACAAAACAGTTTGTGGGAAAATACAAACTTACTTTAAAGGATTTCTTAACAAATATTTATTGGCTTTTTTTGTAAAATCCTCTAAAAAGATGTACCCATTTAAAAAGGATAGAGTTCCTTAAACTACAATTTTTATACCTCTGTGGGTCGAGGTTTAGCCTTTTAGGGACTTGCTAAGGTCCTTACATGTGATGTGTTTATATCTATAAAAGAGATAACTCTTTCATATGATGTGTGAGATCATATAACTATACTAATCAATTTCCATTATTAATCATTACAGAAGTTTTTTTATTCATAATCCAGAGAGACGAGCATTTTAATTGTTGGTTACCTAGGGTCTGTTTAGTAACGTTTCTGTTCCTAAAAATAATTTCTGTTCAGAAATAGTTTTTTATATTTCTATTTCCTAGACAAGTTTCTGAGCAAAAAAACGTGTTTAGTAACTGTAAAAAATTTATATTCCCAGAGTAGAAAAAGAACATAAATGCGTTTGGTAAGATACTAAAAATTTCTACTTTTTTTTTCATTTAATTATAAAAATTATCTGTTTAGACTTAACAATTCATGTTTGGATAAAATTAAACTAGCAATAGAATAAAAATATATTATGATATAGAATTGGATAACCTTAATATAATTATAAAAAAAAAAGGGAAAAAACCACCAAAAACCCCAAACTTTGCCATCTGTGACACATTTACCCCGAACTTTTTTTTGTGACACCAAAAACCCCGAACTTTGCTTTTTGTGACACATTTACCCCAATGTATTTAGTCCATGGGCATTTTCGTCTTTTTGCTTTTTCTTTTTTTTTTTCCTTTCCGGCGAGGGGGCCTCGCCGGATCCGGCGAGGGGCCTCGCCGGCGTCGAGCGAGGGCGGCCCTCGCCGTGATCCGGCGAGGGCGGCCCTCGCCCGGGCGAGCGAGGCGGCCCTTGCCCGACTCGGGCGAGGTTGACCCTCGCCGGCCGTCGCGAGGGTCGACCTTGCTCGAGCCTCGGCGAGGGCCGCCTCGCTCGCCCGTGCGTGGGCGACCCTCGCCGGCTTGGGCGAGGTCCGCCCTCGCCGGGCGAGCGAGGGCGGCCCTCGCCCGATCGCGAGGTCGACCTCGCCGCGGCCGAGCGAGGAGCCCTCGCTGGCGATCCGGGCGAGGCGGCGGCGCCGAATCTGGGCGAGGACGCCCCTCGCCCGACGCCGGCGAGGCGGCCCTCGCTGGACGGCGAGGGCGACCTCGCCCGACGCCGGCGAGGGTCGACCTCGCCCGACGCCGGCGAGGGTCGCCTCGCCGGGCGAGCGAGGGCGGCCTCGCCCGACGCCGGCGAGGGTCGCCTCGCCCGGGCGAGGCGAGGCGGCCTCGCCCGACGCGGGCGAGGTCGACCTCGCCCGACGCCGGCGAGGGTCGACCTCGCCTCGATGGGCGAGGGCGCCTCGCTCGCCGCGCGAGGGCGACCTCGCCCGACGCCGGCGAGGGCCGCCCTCGCTCGACGCCGGCGAGGGCCCCCCTCGCCGGATCCGGCGATGGGCAGCCCTCGCCCGACGCCGGCGAGGCCCCCCCTCGCCGGAAAGGAAAAAAAAAAAAAAGCAAAAAAGACGAAAATGCCCATGGACTAAATACATTGGGGTAAATGTGTCACAAAAAGCAAAGTTCGGGGTTTTTGGTGTCACAAAAAAAAGTTTGGGGTAAATGTGTCACATATGGCAAAGTTTGGGGTTTTTGGTGGTTTTTTCCCTAAAAAAAATTACTCTTTATAGACAAAGCAAATACCGGGTAGTGATCGAGGAAATTGTAGTTTATGGGACTTAACAATTCATGTTTGGACCTTACCAAAAAAAAACAATTCATGTTTGGATAAAATTGGACTAGAAATAGAATGATAATATATTATGATATAGAATTAGATGACATTAATACAATCATAAATAAAATTACTCCTTATAGACAAATTAAACATTGGGTAATGGTCGAGGAAATTGCAGTTTAGGATGTAGAATTTTAAGATTTGGGGTTAGGTTTTAGGATTTTGGTTTTGAGGTTTAGGGTTTTGGGTTTTAGATTTGGATTTTATGGTTTAGGGTTTGGGATTTAGGTTTTAGAGTTTCGTGTTTGGGGTTTTAGGTTTAGCATTTTCGGGTTTGGGGTTTAGTGGTTTAGGGTTCAAGGATTCTGGTTTTGGGTATTGGGGTTTGGGATTTAGGGTATAGAGTTTACAGTTTAGGGTTTATGGTTTAGGGTTTGGGGTTTTGCAATTTAATGTTTTAGGATTTAGGGTTTGGAATTACAATTTTAAAGTTTAGGTTTTAGGGTTTCGAGTTTGGAATTTTGGAATTTAGGGTTTAGCGTTTTGAGTTTTGGGTTTGGGTTTTCGGGTTTAGGATTTGGGATTTAGAGTTTAGGATTTCGGGTTTTTCATTTTACTGTTATGAGTTTTAGGATTTGGATATTGAGATTTAAGATTTTGGGGTTTTGAGTTTGAGAGTTAAGGTTTAGGATTTTGGGGTTTAAGGTTTGAGGGTTAAGGTTTAGGGTTTTAGGGTTTAAGATTTGGGGTTTTAGGGTTTAGTATGAGAATATCCTGTAAAAGAGGGAGAGCTGATCTTGTTTCTCTATTGTTTTTTTTTTGTTCTAGAAACAGAAAAGTAAATTTTTTTTATTTCTTATTTCTGTTCCAAATCTATTCCTTGACTATTTTTCTGTTCCGGAGAACAAAAAAACTAACTGACGTTACTAAATGGTTTTCTGTTCTTTTTTTGTTCCGGAGAACAAAAGAACAGAAAAACAGAGAAACAGGAACGTTACTAAACATACCCCTAATGACTCGTGAAAGTTATTTTTTTTTTATCCTAGGTCATCTTTCACATTTTCAAACTTAATTGACATGTCGTATGTTCTTATCAACATTTTACAATTATGGTTCATAGTGATTTTCACATTTTACTTTTTCTTAAATTTCGTGCAATTCGCGTTTTGACTTTTTTCTTAATTCAAAGTACTGAAATTTCTGCAAAGTAAGTAGATATCAACACATAGAATCGTTTGTTATTTCTTACAAATTTTCGTGATTTTGAAGGCCAAATTTGTAGAAGTTGGAATTAGGTAAAGTTTCCCTGTCAGAAATTGATGATGCGAAACAACACACTGCCGTCTAAGGGTACGCATGACAATGTTTCTATGCCGGGGAACTATTTCTACTCAGAAATGATTTTTTTTTATTCTGTGCCCGGAAACAATTTCTAAGCATTTGAAGGCGTTTGGTAACTGTCCAAAATTTCTATTCCTGGAATAGAAAAGAACAGAAATGCGTTTGGTAACTACACAAAATTTCTTGTTATTAATAATATTTTGAATTGTTTATTTTTTTTTTTTCTTTCTACCCAGGCCATGGCCGGTTACCGGAGACCAGCCACAGCCTAGGGCCGGAGAGGGTCCCCCTTGCCGGCGAGGGCGAGGGTGGACCCTCGCCGCCCGGGCGAGGCGGCTTGCCGATCGGCGGTCATGGCGAGGTCGGCCTCGCTGGATATTGCGAGGCCGAGCCTCGCCGTCGGTCGCGACGGCGAGGCTCGGCCTCGCTCACCCAGCCTCGGCGAGGCCGAACCTCGCCGTCGCGACCCATGGCGAGGTCGGCCTCGCCGTGGTCGCGACGGCGAGGCTCGGCCTCGCCAGATTCGGGCGAGGCCGACCTCGCCATGACCGACGACGAGCCGTCTCGCCCAGCGACGAGGGTCCGCCCTCGCCTCGCCGGCAGGGGGACCCGCTCGCCGCCGGCCGGCGAGGGCCGTAACGCCCTCGCGGCCTCGGGCCGTGGCCGGCCGCCGCCGGCCGGCGGTGGCCGGCCACAACCCAAGAAGAGCAACACAAAAAGAAGAAAAGAAAAAAAAGAAAAAGAAGAAAAAAAATTGACTCTCAAAATTGTGCCGAGAAACAAGAAGCAACTTTTTTTTACTTCTTGTTTCTCTTCCAAAACTGTTTCTCGGCACAAATTTTTGCAAAAATGTGCTCGGGAACAAAAAGTTTACCAAACGCATTTCTGTTCCCAAACTATTTCTGGGAACAAAAGAACATAAATTTTTACCGTTTGGCACGTTACCAAATGGGCCCTAATTGGGATTCGACAAGATGAAGCGCCACCCAAACAACTGCACGAATTTATTGAGTCGTTCACAAAGGAAAAGAAGAATTAGTGGTTGGTGGAATAGTTGTCAACATCCTCGTGATAAAGTAGGAATGGTAACTTTGTGTCGTGTCGGTTCTTGTCTAAAATGCTGATTCTCTTGTACATTTAATGAATCTTCAATGAAATTTCGAAACTGCTGAAAAGGTGACTGAATCTGCACTTCATCATTCTCGCATAAACATAGAACACAAAATTGTTTTTGGTAAGGGATTTGAGACTTCAAGCCATCAGCCTCTTCCCTTCAAATTTTAGTGTAAGCTAATCGAAGATTTGATATCCCCAACCATGTTTTCATAGGTCCCGTGCTTATTAAGGGTGATTGGTTCTAGTAGAACTGGAATTGTCCACTAAAAATCAGTTCCACAAAATGAAAATCGGGAACCGCCTGCTGGTTTCATGGACCTTTCAGGATCCGGTCGGTCTACAATCACGACAATCCCGCATGGAACCGGTTTCCTCTCTGATTGGGACAAACAATTGAAGTACTTTAAGGGGGTGTTTGGCAAGTTGCCAAATAGTAAAAATTTTTGTTCTTTTGTTTCTAGAATCAGTTTGGGAACAGAAATTTATTTGTTAAAATTTTTGTTCTTGAGCACAAATTTGCAAAAAATTGTTCCCAAAATCAGTTTTGAAACAGAATCAAGAAGCAAAAAAAACTAGCTTCTTGATTTTGGAACAATTTTTCCATTTATGATTCTTCTTGGTTTTTTTCTTCTTTATGGTTTGTTCTTCTTCTTCTTCCCGATCTGCCACCGGCAAAGACCGCCAAGGGCGGCTCGCGGCCGCAACGGCGAGGCCTCGCCTAGCTCTGGCGAGGCTCGCCGTCGTGACCGGCGAGGGCGGCGGCGAGGGCCACAACCCTCTCGCCGGCCATGGCCAAGGAAGGGAAGGAAAAAAAAAAGAAAAAAAAGAGAAAGAAATATTAAAAAATTCAAAATATTATTAATAAAAAGAAATTTTGTGTAGTTACCAATCGCATTTATGTTCTTTTTCTATTCTAAAAATAGAAATTTTGGGCAGTTACCAAACGCCTTCAAATGCTTAGAAATTGTTCCTGGGCACAGAATAAAAAAAAAATCATTTCTGAGCAAAATCAGTTTTCGGGCACAAAATCGTTGTCATTCTCATCCTAACTCTCGGCATTCGCCATCTTCAGCCTCCTTGCCATGTTTGACTTCCAAATCACCACTTGCCTTGCCAATCTCTGCGTTTACTCTATGCACAGTTCAAGCATTACCAGTTGTTAAGAGAGAGTAATCATGAGACCCACCCTGTTGTTGGAGTGTGAGGAAGCTACAACTTCATTATACGTTTGAGACTTCGCACGGACAGCAGACGTCACACCCAAGAAGGAAGCCAGAAAGAGACTGAGAACGCTACTGACGAAACACCTCATTGGATGCGTGAGAGCGAGATGAGCTGACCATATGTACTGGTCCGATTTGGGTGATCGAGTAGGCGATTCCACACCCAAAATCGGAAATTGGACCGATCTCCTTGGGAACTGCTAATTCTAAGCCAATTCATTCCGGTTTTGATCGGTTCTCGATTCTTTTGTACACTCCTAGTGCTTATGGCGCGCCTTTGACCACCACCGCTTATGGTGATCATCACGGCCACCACCATCACACCAGTGTCACCGTCGGTGACATCTCTCTCTCAAGTGGAGCTTAGCGCCCTCAATGTCGATCTCGTCGTTTGTTCGGCGAACCAAGGCCTCAACACGATCACATCAAGCTCCACCTCGTCCCTATGGACGAGCTGATCATGCACGAAAATACAGCCAATCGGTACAATCTCGCGAGCAAGATAACAGATGGGGGTCATCGACTGAGATAGCGGACCCGCGTCCATGCCCAATTAAGGATTTTGCTGAGAAAATTAGTGTTTCAAGTGGTCATCCGAGCAGCAAAGAACGAGAGATTCCTACGCTTTTCCCGTTTCATTTGTCTTTCTTTTTTAACATTTTGTTAACGAGTGCCCATGAACACTTGTTAAACAACTAATCAGAAATAACTTACAGACTTTTAACGTCCCATGGCGTGTAATCGGTGTTTTGAAAACTGCAAAATTCCAAACTAATCATGCTTATCAGGTGTCTCGTTAACACGATATTGGCCATGGTTAAATATTTCACCAACTTTGGCCGTCCCCTCTGTGAGGTTACATAGGGAAGTGCAAATTAATTCTTTGTTTTGGGGGTTAAATGCTTGCTGGATTTCATCTGTTTCTATTGAATGGAGGTGACAAATTCAATACCAACTACTGACCCGGTGGATTGAAGAGCCTCCTCTTCTGGTGGCCTCCATAAATGACACCCCGCTGGCTCCGCCCGTACCAGGCCCTCTCGGTCTATATAGGAGCAGTGGACCTTCTCAACCCCGGCAGGAACATTCACATCCCAACGCCTCCATTGCTCTATCTAGCCTCCAGGCTCACCCTTGCCTCAGCACACACACGAGAAGTAAGCACAGCAACGCCGTTTAGGGTTCGGCCATGGCTATCAAGCTTCCTCTCCACACTCTCTTCCTCCTCCTCGTGCTTCTCCTCTCAGGTAAAAAGCCGGGTTCCCTTCTCGCGCGAAAGTGTTGTGTGCACGTGACCCGTCTCACCACGTGGCGATGATGACACGGTTGACCGATACCCGCATGCTGAGAATCTCATCCCAGTTGGTCGGTCACATCATGTGCTCGAGAGGACACGAAATTATTAATCTAGGCCTTGATCAAGGGCAAGTGTTGGTATGGTACGGTGTGCGTGAGGACAGTGACTGCCACACTTTAGTGCAATTAATCGCGTTCCACTTGTACTCGAGCAAGTATTGCATAGCTCAAGCCAATTTTGGTCATTTGCATCACATTAAATATAGACCAAGCCTCTGCAATATTTTCTTCCCGGTGACCCTAAACCAAACGTGACTGCACGTTAACCGGACTCAAAAGTTTGCTCCCAATGCCTCCTCATGTTCAAATCGATGGCGAAAACTTGCTCGAGAAGCCTGTTTATACGAAGCTCAGATGAAAAAACTCATGTTATATGACACTGCGAGCCTCAATGGTGCTGAAAGTCCTGGCAAAACTCGACCCTTGAGGATAATTCGTCACGTCTTTTTGACCTTCACTTTCTGATTTATTTGTAGCTGCATGGATGCCGCCCAAGGCGAGCGCTCAACCGAGGACTTGCTCCATCGAACTGGACTCGAGCGGCTGCACAGCCCAGGACTGTGTCGCGAAGTGCGCAAGCCAATTCAACGGGGTCGGCGAATGCGCTCATCAGGAGTATGTGAGCAACTTCCACTGCGTTTGCCTCTATGCTTGCCTTTGAAATGGTTTCCTTTTGTTTCACTGTCTCTCTCTCTCTCCCCCTCTCCCTAGACTCTATGAAGCCATCGATCATCAAGATAGAGAGAGAGAGGGAGAAATTAATAAACTGATTTGGAATGGCAAGTCTGTTGACTTGCCAACTACCCTTCATTTCAGAAGAGAGAGAGAGAGTGTGTGTGTGTGTGTGTGTGTGTGTGTTGTTCTTTTGTTTTGACGAGAGGAAATGCAACTCTGGTGCTTTGGCTTTAGTTTTGCTCATGCGTATTAGTAAGCTCATGTTCTGCTCAAGTTAACTTTCGGAGGCTGCTCTTGCCATCTTATGAATGAAGTCTGTCGTCTTCCACGATACTTGGGGATGAAACAATGTGCATATGTGGAGACGAGCCTATGGTTTTCTGATCATTTAGAAAAGGAATAACGCATGATCATTGAGGCAAGTACAAGCAAACGAGGGCCGGAAATGTTGGGTGGTGTTGGGCCTTATAAACTGGCCACCAACCCATTTCACAATTAATGTAGGACAATTCTGACAATCTCCCCTTCACACATCGGGTTTAGGTCAGAGTCACAACAACTCTCTCCGAGTGACTGTTGGATCCATATTTGTTGGTAAACTGGACTCTATACTAGTGTTGGATGGTCTTAGGTTTCTCTCAATCCAAAAGCTAACTCAAAGAGCAAAAAGCAAGACTTTTCCTCACACTTATAAACTGAATACCAACCTTTTCACAATCAACATGTGATAACCCCATAAAAAAAGAAAGATCAAACGCTGATGCAAGAAGAGGTCCTTTCGATCTATTTATCCGGACCATCAAAGCTCGAGCAATACTGGAGATTCTGAGATTGAGCTAACATTCAAAGCAACGTGGTAGAAATGAGCAACCAAGCTAATGCACGAGAGAGAGAGAGAGTAAAATGAGGCACCAAATCCACATTGTGTTTATGATTGGTCGCGACGGACTAAAGCATTCATCAGCCAAGGAAGAGTAGGAACCGCCCACAACAAATGTGACTTGCCAGCACCACCTTCAAACGCTGCGACAACAGTATACTTATCTGAGGTGTCCCGAGGCCAGGGCCGCCATTACACGCGGTGGTCACAACCTCTCTTTAGCCTTCTTTACAGTACGGTGAAAGAGAGCAAGAGGGAGGGCGAGAGAAAGACGGAGCGATTGGCACGACTCGCGATGAGCAATCAATTGCCGTGGGATGCAATGGCGGCAGTGGCGGCGGTGGTGCGAGTTTAAATGAACCAAGGCACGAGTCAAGCCCCAAAAGTACTCCCAAGGTCGACATAAGTTAATGACCATTTGAGGGCGAGTCTTTTGGTTATGAATTACTACGCAAGGTCTCACCCATCTAAAGTGGGACTTTGGGATGTACAAACCCTTCGCTTAAAGAATAATTGATGTTCTTTTGCCGGTATTGGAATGTATTGCCTAACAATTACTCCCCCATTTTGCATCCATCTGTCTTAAAAGCTTATCAGGAGTATGCAAGGATGACACATGAGTATATTGACAGGGGCAAATGCCCCACTAAAATTTCCAATCTTTTCTGTTATAAATGTGCATTTTCTAAGTTGGTATTAATTTTACCCCGCTAAATTTTTGTCACCACGATATGTCTCTTTTTATATTTGAGGTAACGACACCTCAATTATCTAAGCTTTTGCCCTTTTTTTAAAAATTAAGTGTCAAATATTTGTTTTATTCAATCAACTACTTCAACTAATCAAATTTGGCTCAATGTGAGACATCTTTAAATAAGTAGCCATGTCATATGGTTTTAGTAAAGTGGCTCGCTTACACAGCAAAAGATAAGCATAATTGGTGATGTGACTTGTTTCCTCAACAAAAATCATGTCATCTCTATCTAGGTGTTGGGTGATGAGCTGAGATAAATAGTGCCGACTTGAAAGATTTTAGTTGTCAAATATGTCTTTGATAATGTGACATCATCTCAAAAGGCCCCATTGAATGCCAATGTTGACAATTGATGGCTATTTACAATGTCAGTATCCGCGTTAGCATTACTGGAGGTCTCAAATTTACCCACACTTGAAATGTTGAGAGTACTTGATTGAACAAAAAGGAAATTTAGGTACCTGATTGTAAAACAGGTAAAAGTTTAGTTACTTGCAGTTTCATTTTACCCCTTTAAAATTTGAGAAAAGCCAAATTGTAATAGTAAAAATATAATTTTTCCATTTTTAACAAGCCCATGCCACCTTAACCCAATAAAACATAAAAGAAACTAAAATACTCCTACCATAGCATTTCTTCTCCAAACATGAAGTCAAAAACACATTTTCTTTTTCAAATTATAATTACTCTTCATAGTGTTCCAAGTGATTTCAATAGGGTCATACCAACAATTCAACATGTACTGAGCGCGCTCAAGCGGAGCTTAATCAATCCATTCTATGTGCGAAAAAATAATCGTGTTGCATGCGAATTAACTCTTTCGATCTTTTTTATACGCTTTAGACAAGTGTAATTTGAATGAACTGACATGTTATTCGTGTTACAAGATGCGTTCAACCATATCTAGACAAGTTTGGATACTTACACATTATACTTGCCAGTGCATGAGAGCTTTTTTTTTTTTTTTTAAATGTGTTAAGCATGTCATATCCTCTAATATATTTGATAGTCATGCAGTCAAAATTGAAATTCATGACAAATACAGTAAACATATTGTTTTCAGCTTGAAACGATTATGACATGACATAATTATATTTATAATATGAAATTAGAAATTACCCACCGAACTATAGGCGACACAGGAGTAGACACTACTTATAACTTCAATTCCCAATTGATATCCTAGCAAAACTAGCTACCTGTTGTCAAGTGATTTGTGCGCATCGAATCAGAGAAAGCTGATAAAATTGGATGGACAACTTTTTAATGGACTAATGATAATTTTCTTGTTAAGGTTTAGTTTTCATTCTATTTTTATGATTTTCTTTATAATTATATTGAATGCTTGATAATATTAATAAAGGTATTTTGTGCTTTTATATATTGTTGGCTCCGCTGGTGAAATCTCCATGCTTCTTCCTAGTAGGTAGGGGGCCTAGATTGTCCGTGAACCACATCCATGGAAAGGAGCCATGCTCTAATATCATTTGTAATGATTCAACCTATTTCACATGATCGAAACCTCTAAGAAAATACTCTAAGGCTGCGTTTGGTCGTCCGTATTTCTAGCCAGGATAGGATTGGATAGGATAGGATAGGAAATCTGGGGATTTGGCCATATCCTATCCATTGTTTGGTGAAGTACGGATTTAAAGTCGGATATTCTCATATCCTATCCTATCCTGCGTTTGGTAGAAACCGTATATCAATATAAAGAACATATATGCCCATATATGATGCTCATGAAAATTGTCATCATCGTCTTTATGTTTGCCCCATGAGCTTGAAGCCTTTTCCATACACAATCAAGCAGAGGTTGCAATCTATGGAAAATAGAGCGCCCACTCCGAGGAAACCTTTTCATGTGTAACAGCACAAGATCCTTCAGAATAATGAACAAGTTTTTCTTGGCGTTATCTTAGCGAGCTGACCCTCTCCAATCTATATTGACTTTCACCGCTGAATATCTTGCCTAGGAACGCAGTGGCAAATGAGCAAAAAGAAAAAGAATTGAGCAAAAAAATAATAATATGAAAGCAAGGGTACGACGAGACTACAACAACAACTATGAATAAAGCTCCAAACTTCACAAGAAACAACACATTCCAAAAACTAAAGCATTCCAATAAATAGTAAAATCAACATTGTTCGATGTTGTTCTGTCTAAAAAATAGCAAAAAGAGACTACACACGACATTACTCTTCTATCATCTCTTGGAGAAGCATGTCCACAAATGCCTTCCTGTCATCTCCTTGAAATCCAAAAAAAAGATGAATATTCTCAGGATCCTTCACAATTTTTCTGCACAATTTTATTCTATCCATGGTATCTAGAGACATCTTAAGAAGCTCTTCGTTGATTTTTCTCTTGTCATCATCCAAATCTTTCGCATGTCCAATGTGGCTAGCAATCATCTCCATCCTCTCGTTAGCTTTTTCCATAAAAGAGCCAAAAGTGCTTGCAATTTCAACTAACCCAGCAGCCCACTTGTCACTTGCTTTAGCCCTTTTTCTTCTTGAAGAATCAGCAACATTTTGCATTTGAGAAGATGATAGTGGCGGTAAGTTTTGATTTGCACCAGTAGTAGCCACGTCAGAATGATTCTCACTTTCTTCATTATCTACAGCCGCATGAGCTTCTGAAGGGTCTTCACTGAGATTTCCCTTGGCACGGTCTCTTCCAAATACAGTTGCTAGTCGATCATATTGAGGGAAGGACTTTCCTCTCAAAGAAGCAGCTCCTGGATAGGCCTACAAAGAAATATATTGTTTTTTTAAAAAGAAACAAGTTGTAAAGAAGAAAAATGAGAAGAAGTAACACTAACCTTGCAATATTTTTGCCAACTATCTTCCGAATGAATATCAACGGAATGTTTTTCGTGATCCCATCCAAAGCCACTTTGATCCTTCAAGTCATAAATCTGATTATACAACTTTTTCAAGTATCTCATTTTCGACTCAATATGAGGATTGCCCTTAATGCCAGAACCAGGAAACTTTTCTTGAACCCACTTCTCTAACATAATCATGTAACCACTCTTGAAGCCGTTATCGGCTTTCATTCCTCGCGCAACTAGTTCTTCAAGACCATCTAGAAGTGCATTTTCTTCATCTATTGTCCATACACGTCGGTCTCTCTTTGTTCCCCTTCCTTGGGTTTGACTAAAATCGCTACCTTCCATTCCTAAACATCTCATTGCAATTTTACAAAATTTAATGATAGATGATAGCATGGTAGAGAAAATTTAATGATAAAAACAGCATAGTATTAAAAATTTAAAATGATATAGCCAGAATTCAAACATTACATAAGGAATATTTTTCTCCATGATGACAAATCAGCACCATATTATACATGTCTAATAGCAATGGAAACAAAAACATCTTACAAAACAAACCTTACAATAATTAGAAACAAATGAGACAAGGAATAATGTCAAATCAGGCGACTCCTCCATGTCCTCGACTTGCATTCCACTCATTAAACATTTGTATTGCCAAATTTTGCCTCCATGTTGTCCAATGATCCGATGGCTCAAGAACATTAATTGTTTCCACATCTTCAATGGTGTTAGCAACTTCATCTAATTGTGCCTCAATTGGATCAATAGCCATTTCTCTTCTTATCAAGTTGTGTATAAGGCAACAAGCTATAATAATTCGTGTTTGCGCTCTAATTGGATAAAAAGATGGACTCCTAAGAATAGCCCACCGTAACTTTAATAGACAGAAGCATCTTTCTATGACATTTCTAGCTTGAGAATGCTTCATGTTGAAGTACTCCTCAGGGGAATTTGGCATACAACCTTCTCTCCACTTGGATAGGTGGTATCGAGTACTTCTATAAGGAGCAAGAAAGCCCTCCCCATTTGTGTATCCGGCATCGACAAGATAATAATTACCTAATAACAAATGATAACATTATTAATTGTCTTAGAATCGTCAAACCCTACACGTTAAATAATGTAACATATTGATAAGGGCTTATCTTACCAACAGGAATCTTCAGACCATTGGGTTTAACTAAAGCATCTCGAAGCACTCTAGAATCTGCTGCTGAGCCTTCCCATCCAGGTAAAACGTATATGAATCTCATGTCACGTGAGCAAACTCCTAACACATTGGTCGCTATCTCACCCTTTCTATTTCGATACCTTGGTTTATCAACCTCTGGAACACGTACCCTAATGTATGTGCCATCTAATGCTCCTAAGCAACCCTAGAAACATGAAATTAATAGAATAACCTTATGTTTAAAGTATTAAATTAATCCATGTAATAGCAAAGCAAACATACCTTAAACCATTTCCATCTCTCGTCGGTACATTCCTCCGGAACTGGTTCAGGTGACACAAGAAGCACACTATGCATTCTTATCACAGCACTTAAAACTAAGTTAAAATACCTACTTATTGTCTCTCCAGACCTCATAAATCTGAACTTGATAACACGAATTTTCACATGATGGGCAAGTATATGTAGGAACATTGCCACTTGTTCTTCTATAGTCACAATTCCATCTTCTTTTAACCCACCAATTGTACGTGCCAACTCGCATAGTAGAGTAAATGTACGTCTATCCAATCTAAGTTGTTCCACACAATTCAAGTCACTACTGTTAATGAGGCGATCAAGGTGATCTAAACGAGCTTGCCTTTTAAACAATGTGCGATCCTTCAATATATGTTTACGGTAGTGCCTTTCAGCAACTGTGGATGCCACAATCATATACATCATACACAAAAGCAACATCTGCAGGTTCATCTCCTCTAATATCAAAATGCTGAAAATTTCCTCTCTCTCATCGTGATCCATTTCTAATAAAGGAAAAAAAACAATAACATTAGGCAAATACTAAGTAGTAGGTTAGAACATTGACAAAATCTGTCATATTCACCAAATACTAAGTGCTTTTGGATAGAAATATCTCATTAGTTTAGCTGCTTGCAATGCAAAACAATGCTATAGCTTTTATCATAGAAATGGAGCTAGTTTTTGCACATAAGAGAACCGGAATAGCTACAATACTACTCCCCATAAATCAAAACAGTGACTGCTTCTACTTTGCTTTTCTTTACAGTCCTATCAATCACGGTGTCTATAAAGTAGTGAAGTCTCTATTGCTACAGTTGAGCAACAAACAAACAATGTAGGTAAATGACAGGGAAAATGCATAAGTTGTTCTCTCATCCTTAACATTGAACAGTCCAAAAATAAAAGGTGTGTCTGCCTATCCAGGCATAGACTTCACGACAGTTGCAATCAAGGGCATCTTAAAATATTTTGGATTCATTAAATCACCTCGGTAAGCTAAAAGACCCTATTCTCTCCCCATTATTATCTGGTCAACCAACAAAAGATGGACATGACCCGCAGAAATCATCCAATGAACAAGAACAACCTGGTGAGATAGTTATGTGTCTCTCACAGAAATTGGTGCTCATTGGCATCATCATTTAGTAGCATGAATACTTGAAAAGCAAAATAGTGCAAAAGGGACCTCAAGATCAAGAGATCAATGAAAGCTAAAAAAAACTCCATCTTCAGTGTAGGAACATTATGTGTCGGGTACTTACAACAATGTATATACTTCTTCCGGAAGGGAATGTTATATTCTGAAAACCCGCACATCAAACTCTATTTAAAATATAGCCTTCTTATCTCGATGAAACATTATCCCAACTAGCTGCAAAATAACTCTTTCCTTAAATTCTCACATAATTTGGTTGTCAAACAGCGATGTTTTCTTTGGCAACTAAAAATTTTACTCTAACAAGATCAAACATTGCTGCCTCGTGAAAAGAGAACTCAATGGATTAGTTCTCAATGAAAAGAGAACTCAAAAATTTTACTTCTAGGGAGCTATTAATATGGAAGTTGTTGCAGAGAATGAATGTCTATTATAATTAAGACAGCCTCTAACATAAGGGTGTGATGCTTATGTATTTTACTTGTTTACGAAAACAGAGGTGGAGATTGGGATTCAGGTGGGACATGTAATGGAGAAACAGGACCTATCTCAAGTGGGGGCTTCCTCAACAACTATCCTTTGAAAATGAGAATAGTGGAGCAGGTCGTCAAGGAAATGCGAGTTCCCGTGATGCTTCTCTACGTCACAAGGTTGACCAACTTCCGCAAGGACGACCATCCGTCAGTATATGGAAAAAACACCACTGGCGGAACTCAAAGCCGACCACCACCCGAGAGAGAAAAAAGAAAGAGGAACATGATAAACAACTCTCATCATCTAAAAGCACTCAAAACTCACACAGCACGCAGACACGATATCCACGACATGGAGCCCAACGAAGGACTCGTTTACGACAACTTCGTCGTTCGATTACCGGTTAACAAAGAATGAAAATTATAAACCCAAACTACTGAAAAAAAATTGCAGAAGCAAGCTGTAGACGATCATGGATGAATACATACCTTCGCAAATTGCAGAAGCAAGCTGTAGCGTGCGTGAAGGAGTGCGTGAATGAAGGGGTAGGGTTTCTAAAAAGTAGCTTTTATATGACGGATAAGAGAAATCCTATCCGACCTTATCCTACCCCCCTCCCTCGGATTTTTTAATCCGGGTTATATCCCTTCTATATCCGACATTATGCTATCCGAGACACCTACCAAACACGGGATAGGATAAAACATATCCTATCCCGAGTTTTATACGGACAACCAAACGCAGCCTAAAGGCTCATTTGAGAGTAGATCTTACTCATGAATGACTTAGGGTATCTCCCATTCAATGTGGAACTTTAAGATGTCTCAGGCACAACGATGTCAAAGGCAAAGGGTGGTGGGGGTGAGGGAGAAGGGGAGAGAGAGTTGTGGTTTTTGGATTTGGGGTAAATTTTCTTAAAGCATAGAAGTACATTGGTCAATTAGGTAACTGGATAAGATATAGTTATCTCATAAAGTGAGAGGATCTTGCCCTTATTTTTAGAGTCGAGTGGTTTCAGAGTAGGTAGGTTTCAAATCTTGAACCTAAAATCTACCCTGTCGGGATCAGTTTTCAGTTTTTGAAATCTGGAATCTACCCTGGAACCGACTCTATTGATCCAGCCCATTTCTAGGGCTATTTGGGAACCAACCAATTTTTTTTTTAAAGTCTTTGAAAGGATAAACCTTAGTAAAACATCCCCTTATTTACACTCAAAACAAATAAAAACTACAACAAAACAGTAGAGCAACAAAACAATGAGAACAACAGTATAAAACAAACAAATATATAAAGTAATTGGGAAATGTCCTATTCATCCTTTAGTCAAGAAAAAAATGAAAGTTAAAGCAACAACAAAAATTCCGATCCGCCTAAAGCAACAATCCATAAAAGTTGAAAGACTACTGCATATTCAGCTACGTTATTTGTGAAGTGTTGAGAGCCGTCAACAACTTGAAAGAATTGAATTCTTTGAAGGGGGTTGAGATAAAAAAATGCATGTCCCCAAAAACTTTGCCCGATGTGCCCGAATTCACCAAGTTGGAGACAAATAGGACACCACTAGAAGCTGCATAATACACTATTGAGCTAGGGAAGCGATTGCGACTTTCGGTATTGTAGGAAAAATAAGCATCATCTCGGAAGTGTAGGGACTTTCGTTGGATGAGTATAAAAGGTGTGCAGGTTAGGGATAAGCGGTTCCAGTATGGGTATGTTTCAGACTTGGAACTTGGAACCTACTCTATCGGGACCAATTCTAATATTTAGTTGAAACCTACCTTATAGACCTTGGAACCGAACTAGAATCTGCCAAGTAGGGTTAATCCGGTCCGGTTGGGTCTACCCTGGACTAGTGAAAAACAAAATCTCAGTATTATTCTACTTCCACGTAAAATGCCACGTAAGGCGACATGTTAACATTTGGCGGCCATGCCGACACTACGGATCCAATTGCACAAAAATTATGTCGAGGGATCTGATTAAAAGTTTTGAAATACTTCCCCAGGTACTTTTATCCCAACAATATTTTAATAGCTTATGGTAAAAAAAATATTAAGAAATGAACATCAAGCGTGGGCCATTCAAGGCAAGGGCCCAATTCCCTTGAAACTAGGCCTTTGATTTCTTAGTTTGATGGGCCTGTAATTCTTACTAGCAGGCTACTCGGCCTAATTTGTCGGCCACTGAGCCAATCCTGAGCAAACTAATTCTGTGAAAATTCCACGTCATTTATCCTAAGATCTCTATCTCCATGCCACGTCAGCAATTTGAGGCTATATTCGATAAATTGGTTTTGGGGTTGACTTATAAAGTAAACTAATTTTGATAATTATATAGATTTTATATATACTATTAGATAAAGTATAGAAAACCTCCCAATTTTAAGGGATTACAATTCTTTATTACTTTATTAGATAAAGTAAAAAAAACTTGTTATTTTTTAAGGTTCCGTTTGTTTCGTAGAAAATTAATAGTTTTGATAAAATTTTCCAAAAAATAATCGCTTGTTTTGCTTGAAATAATTAGTCAATAGAAAATATTTTCATTATCGACAATAATTTATATTTAAATATTTGTGTGGACGATGAAAAATATTTTTCATTATCAACAATAATTTATGCTTAAATATTTTTTTGTAAACGATATAGGTGATCATTTATGAGAAAATATTTTTCAAACCATTCATTTTTCGCTAAACAAACGGAGCATAGATTTAAATGTTCAAATGCACGAAGTGACGATTCTATTTTATCTCTCTTGTAATTCAATTTTCAAATTTGAATGTTGTGTACTTCATACTTTTGAATATTTCTCTCTTTTCGCAAATATGTGCACAGATATTTCATATTGCGTTAAATTAATTCAAATATTTTGTAATAAGCTGATTATTCAATATTTTTTAGATGTCAATTTCTTATATACAAGTAACGCGTGTGCATTTTCCTGATTCTAGTTATGGCAACCCACCACAAAATGTGAGGAAAGAACTGCTAATTTGCATAGTTGTATTTATCATTGAAGGAGAGGAAATATGGTGCCTGGAAAAGAATAGGATTTCTTATATCAATGGTATGAATTTTGTAGTTCAGATGACTTAACTTTGAATTTAATTATCAAACACATCAAATGTTGAATTTGTTGCTTTCTTTTCTTTCTTTTTTTGGCAATTGATGTTTTTTTCGACCTGAAGCTGACCAGCTTTTAAGAGAAATGCTGACTTTTGCGAATATGTGACCAATTTCATCGATGAAATGTCACAATCCTGTCTGTCTCACAAATTAGTATTTCATTAACTTGTTGATTGGACTCTTGTTAGAGTGCATCATTTACTTAAAAAAAAACAAAGAAAGTTAATGAATTGTGTGATTAAAATCAAAATTCAATAACCAGATTGCAATATCTGCTAAAGTTCACCGACCACCTATGAAATTTTCTCCGATGGAATACATAGATGCCTCATCATCCATTCAAAATAATCACCTAGAACAATATATATATAATCACTTATTTATGAAAGAAATATATTTTGCCTCCAACCATGCAGAAGCCTTTTATGTTGTGCCCCCTATTGCACGATTTTGTTTATAGGTCGAATATTTACTTGGACGTTGTCCTAGCACTTATAAGATTTCATTTTCACAATAGTTAATTATAGTTTGGACCTGCTGAGGTCCTTAAACTACTTCATCTTGAGCCTTATCTAGATCCCGGGATTTCCGGAATGTAATGCTACTAGAGAATATTCCCTTTCTAGGGAAGACAAAGAAACAAGGGGAATTGGAGTTGTGAGGCGTGCCGATACCGACACGTTAAAATAAGGAACGTTTTTATGAAACTCACCCCACATAATGGGAATAGGCCAAGGAGGCCCTCGCAAGAGCGAAAGCTGCCTTCCTTTGGTGAGTTCGCCATAGTAAGAATGGGCAAGATATAACTTATAACTTATCTCCTTATTGAAGA